ACAGTGTCCCAAAAAATAAAAAGAATGAGTTTTAAATTATTTTACAAAAACAAGATTTAATGTTTTTATAGTCTTTTAAAATAATGCAATTTACAATTAACAAAGATGTGTGGTGATAAACAGGCTAGGCTACTTACAATTTAAATGTACATGTAAGAATTACAAGGAGCAACTGGACAGATGGCTCATTGGTTAATAGCACTAGCTGCTTTTCCAAAGGACCCAGTTCAATTCCCAGCACCCACACGGCAGCTCACAACTGTCTGTAACTCCAAGATCTGACATCTTCACAGACACACATGCAGACAAAACAACAATATACATAAAATATAAATGAATTAAAAAAAGAATTACAAGGAATTTCTATTTTAAGCTAAGAAATATAGCAAATGAATTTTTTCTTAAGGAGCATACACAAAAACGATTTTCTACCTGATTCAGAGTTTCCAGAGTTGAGATTCAAACTGGCAGCTATATGTTCTTCAGCTGAAAATGAAGTCCTACTGAGTTCAAATGAAGCTGAGCTGACCCTTTTATTTGGGGAGGGGGACAGAATTACATCAATTGTCTTGTTATGGTTTTCTACTTCTAAAATTAAAACATAAATTAAAATTATGTATTGCCACTGAGCATTGTGGTGCACACCTTTAATCCCAGCACTTGGGAGATAGAGGAAGGCAGATCTCTGTGAGTTAAAGGACAGCCTGGTCTACAGAGCGAGTTCCAGGACAACCAAGGCTGTTACACAGAGAAACCATTCTCAAAAAACACACAAAATAAATAAATAAAATTCTGTATTACCAACATGTGTTCCTGTCTATTATGTGAGAGTTTTCAAATGGGAAGGTCTTCAAAAGCAAAAAGTGCTTTATAAGTAACCAACTATATGCTTAAAATGTAATACCAACATTAAAAAAGCAAACAAACAAAACCCTCATTAACTATTTTGGATGGTCCTCAACATTTTCATCTACTAATTGAACATGAAGTAGAAAACCTTCCTGGGAACTGCTCTCTGCTCCATGTAACTATATACCACCACAGTAAGAAGGGCCATCTGACAACAGCACCATCATGTATGATGGAAGCCTGCCAAAACACAGATAAAAATTATTTTATTGCAAGGGGCTGGCTACAAATTTTTATACTAGAAAATAGAATCTCATATCAAGAGAAAACTACACTTCTGGTATATCAATGACTAAATGAATATTACTCGCACACTCGATTTTCTTTTAGTTGACAACCACATTCAATTTATAAAATTTAGCCCATTTTCAGCAGGACAAAAATGGTCTCTTGAGTGGGTTGTAAGCTTTGCTGATTGTGTATTAGAGACTCTATAAGCAAGAACCAATGCTACCAGGTGAACCCATGCAAAGAACAAATTTGTAAAAATTCCCCAAAACAAAAATATCTATAGCTCACTACAGATGACAAATGAAGACTAGAGAGAAAAGCCATATAGTAATGCTACACCATTCAGCTCCAAGAAGCATATTGTTTATTGTGCAGTCCACATAAAGTCACTGCTAAGAGTCAAATTAGCAGTCTCACAGAGTTACATTTTGGAACTAGTGGAGTCCACAGATCTAAACAGATATGCAACATAACAAACTCCAGCTATTCAGGTACTACTAAATCCTTAGATAAGTAAATAATAAACACTGGCAACTAGAGTTTGAAAATTTAACGCTAGTTTCTAAAGCCCACTCAACCTGACAACTCCTAAAGCCAGGATTTTAATCAGTCAGGTAGAATGGAAAAACAACTACCAGATGGACAGCTGTGCTTGGTACACTGGTACAACTAGACCAATAATAGTATTTTTTCAAATCTATGATGGAAGCATTGTCTTTTGTCCAACTTTACATTCCCATTTGATTTCTCATCTTCAAACTAAGATAAAGTTCATAAAAGATTATGTATATCCTAAACAGTACCAACCAATTCTTGCATTTACAATAGCTATAACTTTAGATTACATTTAGTTTTCCAAATAGTTTAAATGTATGGAGGTCATAATTGTGGTTTGGACTTCAAAATCTCATAAGCTAACAACTTTTAAAGTTCAAACTAAAAAAGTTGTTTGCAGTAAGAATAAAAATGTTGTATTTTGTTCTTTCCATAATTCAGATAACCATATTACCTGCCAATTCTAATGTAATTTTCTTAGAAAATGGTTTACTCTTGACCAGAAGGATATTTTATTAGTTGCAATAAAGGAAAATAAAATTTTATAGTAAATATATCAGATACTTTATGAATCTTAGATTTTGTTTTTAACATTTACCTATTAAAACTGAGTAACTATCATTTCTCTAACGAATCCAGACTTCAGAAGTTTGCTTAATGTATAATTTATTAGCATCTTTTGAATCTCATTTCATTTTTTTGCTGGTTTGTATCAAATATGCTCTATTATGAAACAAATAGCCTTAATTCCATACTCATAAAAGCCCTTTATACAAGCATATTCTTGACACAAACCTGTGCAGACCTCCACAGTTATCAGCTGCTGCAGACTGCCTTTTTTACTTATTTAAATGACTACAATTTTAGCTCCTGCAACGATCTGTAGACTCCCAAAGCTGTGTATTCCCAGCCACTTTTGAGTTGCATGCTGTAGCAAAACAGTCAGCACCTCTCAAGATATTGCTGCAGAGAAAGATTTTATTCAGCAGAGGATTTCTGTGTTAGAAGCAACATATTCCCCCTTAGAACAAAACAGCAAGATAGCCAGCCAGCCCTGTGAGTAAATGTATTATCTGGTGGGCATTCAGATGATTGTGGACTTTTCCCTTTGGATGAGAAGGAACACTGCCTACTTCGATATCAATCATGTAAGAGTTCTTTGAAAACTTCAAGTGTTATTTCCAAATGATTAGGTAGCAGTAAAGAGTCTCTTTATTTTCTGGGCCCCACTTTTCTTTTTTTGAGTCCTACTTCTATTTAACATAATGCACCCTACAAAAGTCTGCTTACTGTTACTTAAACTACCAACTCACAGTTAATGTGTATGTGTATGGGTTCCAAGAATAATTCTTCATTACAAGTATGACTTAATATAACTTATACATCTTTGACCATATTTATTTTAAAAGTAAAGATGTAGTCTGAGTACAACATCATCTGCTATTTTTAAATGGAGAAGATCAACATTATCAACAAGACTTAAGCCGATTCTACTTTTACTGAGATTACTGGACAATGATTACATAAGCAGATTGTCTTATCACAATGCTTTGAGAATCATGTCCAAGAAAAAAATCCTGGGCACTGTGAGGAAACAGTATCATTAGTCTCATGTCACAGGAATGAATTTTTAAAAATTGTAATGTGGCCTACACAGGATTTAAAAGTGCTAAATGTCAATGCTTTAAAAAAAAATATTGAGTACAGTGACAATGAACCAGGCTACAGATTCAGGCTACACTTCCTGATACTGACAAGTCAAAGTGCTCAACAGAAATAGCTTATTCATGTGCCTCACAAAATACAGTACTGAGAAGTTGTTACTAATGATTTGCTCTTAAAATTCTGACACAAGGAAATATTTAAAATGGAAACCCAAATTATTTTCAAGTACAAGTCATATCTTGCCTATGGATTTCATTATAAGATTCTGCCTGATAATAATCTCTGCTACAGAACAAGGCACACATCTTGGTGGGTTTTAACTTAACAAAATGGGCGTGGCATTTTAATCTTATGTTAAAATATAGGACTGGATTTTCAGCACATTATCAGATATGAACTCTCCCTCTGCAGCATTATCACATGCGTCATCATTTACTGCCATGCCTAGTCTAGCATCATGCCAGCACATTAAGACAGAAAGTACTATATGCAGTGTTCACTGGACCAGAGAGACAGAAATAAGAAGGGAGGTGGGGGAGAAAGAAACCCTAGAGAAGAAATTAAAAAAAGGCAGACCGTGCAATACAAACCAGATCATGGCTGCTTAGCTAATATGGGCCAACTGCTGTGGAAGAAAAATGTCGAACACCCCAAGTTGTGTAAATTTCTATAAACATCTAAACACACACACAAACACACACAACACCAACCTAATTAGGAACATAAATATATGTTGATCCTTTACTATGTTATAGTTTTGAGAACAAAAGCTAAAGTATCTACACTTTCTAAACCGCCTTGTTATCTCACAAAAGGAAAAAGGAAGCTAGTGTTTCTAACAGGGAGGGGGAATCTATCTTGAGTGATTACAAAATTAGGACTCCCTTTTTGACCTTTTATCTGTTCAACCTTTACCAATGCTTCAATGAAATCCTTTCAAGTATGTACATGTAAGCACAAATTTAAAGTACTGACAATAACAAGTTTAGACACTTTAACAATGGATAGTTATTTTAAAATAATGTTTTATTTTTTAAATGCTCAAAACTTAAGACTTTTTAAAAATTAAGAGGCAGAAAATAAATCTTGTTCTGTGACTTAGTATCATTGATGTCGTAGATTAAGAAGTGTAAAAGGGCAAAAATACCTAACTTTTTGAGCTGAGAAGCAAAACAAAACAAAACAAAAACCCACCAGACATTTCTTAAGCAACAGAGACCAAGCTTACCATGTCTCACAAGGGTCTAATAGTTTGCTACTTCTTAACTGTTTCTACTGAAACATTTCACATATGACTATACTGCCCAGAAAAGGTATTAAAGGATCAAAATACATTTTACTCCTTTATTCAATTTACAAAAACACTACACCCAACTTTCTATCTTTATCAAAGCTTAATATGGACCAAAATGACATTTTTTTCCACTAAATCCTTACTTTTTTCCTCTGTGTTTTACAATAATTTTCCAACATTATTAAATCACATCCAAAATTCCACCTGATTACTTTGGGGCATGCAAGAAAATGGCTCTAGACTGTACTATTAGTTCTACATAAGTTTAATTTCACTCACATCAAGTAACACACAAGCTCTACCTAGCTAACTAGCTAAGACCCAAAATATGCACGGGTCATCTTACCGATTCTATAGGCTTGTCAAGGGATGCTTGTTCAATCTCCAAGTGTCCTTCTTCATACTGATCAAAGTGATTACCCTGGAAAAAAAACACTGCCATTATTTTTCAAAAGTATTAAAGTGACTTGTAGCCAACTACAAGTTATTTTTAATATTTTTTCAGTAGAAAACCAAAATTGTACCACAAATTAAGACTCTTAAAAAAATTTAAGGCCCAGTGAGATGGCTCTAGACTGTAAAGGCATGTGCCACCAAACCTGACCACCTGCGTTTGATCCCACATGGTGGAAAAGAACCTACTTCAGTCAAGCTGTCCTCTGACAGGCAAACATGTGCCATGAAACACACAAACCCCACATACTGCCAAATAAATAAATATAATTTTTTAAAACTTGCCACCAGATGATTCAGCTCAGTTTGAGGTCCTAGGTTCAATCATGGGGGACAGGAGGTATGCACTCACCCATAAACAGTTCAGGACAGGAAAGATGGCTCAGAAAGTTCAGTCTTGCTACCCAAGTATGCAAGCCTGATAACCTGAGTTTGATCCCCAGAACCCATATGGAGATGGAAAGAAAGGACTCCATAAAGTTATCTGATGACCTCCACATGAAAGCTATGTCATGTGAGCCTGCACATACAAACAAACTCTTTACTAAAATTTAGAGGTTAATTTGTTGCAGGATATTTGATCACACTGTGAAACTCCAAAATTGGGGGCAGAGCCGGTGACTAGTTGACAAGAATTAGTCATACAGAGTACAGAGGACCCAAGATAGGTAGACAAACAGGAAGAAGTAGAACTTAGAGATTCTTGGGCCTTTTTGGTTTGGGATGGAGACACTTTCTTGCTGAATCTCTAGCCAAAAAAGAAGGTCAGCTGGTTGCTTATCATGTTCTCTGACCTAACAAGTTTTAACTGATTCCCGAGTCTTTATTGGTAAATAGAACGACTCATAAAAACACCAATAAGTCACTGATAAAAGAAGTTACTTAGCAGGCCTGGCACACACCTTTGATTCTAATACTTAGGAGGCAGAAGCAGATAGATCTTGGAGTTCAAGGCCAGAGTGAATTCCAGGAGAGCAGGGCCACACAGACAAATCCTGTCTCAAACAACCAAGGTATGTGTGTGTGGGGGGGGGGGGGTGCCTAGTATGCACAAGACCCTAAGCTCAACCATCAGCATGGGAAAATAAAAAAATAAAATAAAATAAAAAAAAGGAAGAAACAGTGAAGAGAAGGCAGGCAAGAAAACAAAATGAAAAAACCTTAAGAGTTCATGTCTGGAGCTGCAGACTTTATGCTCTAGAAAGTCAGTCATAGCTAGGTATGGGGGAGCACATCTGTAATCCAGGGCAGAGAGAGAGGCAGAAGAATTAATAGTTCACCCCATCATCCTAGACAGGGATACACAGCAACCCTATGCAAAACAAAACATCACAACAGAGGAACACAGAAAAGTCGTATCATACTTAGTTGCCAGCATTGCTTTTTGTGGATGATTTGATATGCTGAGAGAGAAATGTGCCATACACTGTTATATGTAAGCATAGTCAAGCAATTTGTCATTGTAACAAGACAAAGTAGTTCTGATTTCTAGGAAGTTATCTCTAATTGTAGGTTTTTTTTTTCTCAGACCTACCTGCTTCATTAGGAAAGAATAATTCATAATAAAGCATTAAATCAAATATTATACGGGGGAAATTACTTTAGCTGTGTCAAAAGTGTGTTATATTTGTTTTGAGTTTTTTGTTGTTATTTTGTTTTTTTGAGAGAGGGTTTCTCAGTAGCTATGGAGTCAGTCCTGGAACTTGCTCTGTAGACAGACAGGCTGGCCTGAATAATGTGGAATAATGTTCTTGTTCACTGTAAAGATTTGTCACTCATATTGGTTTAACAAAACACTAATTGGCCAGTAGCCAGGCAGGAAAAATAGGCTGGGCAACCAGATTAGAATTCTGGGAAGAGGAAAGACAGAGACAAGTCACCAGCCAGACACAGAGGAAACAAGACGAGAATGCCTTACTGAGAAAAAGTATCAAGCCACATGGCTAAACACAGATAAGAATTATGGGTTAATTTAAATTGTAAGAGTTTGTTAGTAATATGCCTGATACGCCAAACAGTTTAGAATTTATATAAACATCTGTGTGTTTATTTGGCACTAAAGGACTTGGGGACCAAGCAGGACAGAAATCTCCATCTACACTTGAACTCACAGAGACCCACCTGCCTCTGGCCCAAGTGCTGGGATTAAAGGTGTGCACTTCACCAAGGCAAAAGTTACTAGGTTAATGGAGCCTAAGCTAGGCCAAGCATTCAAAACTAACAAGTTTCCTTGTCATGATTTGGGAGCTGGTTGGTGGCCCAATAGAAAAAGTCAGGCTTCCCAGCAAGTGCACAAACTGTATTGCTGGCCTAGGCTTAAGTTTCTGATGAATGCTCATATCAATTATTAACAAGGCTGTAAACATCTGACTTTTTTCCATCTACATGAGGTGTGAGCCAAGTTTAAATTGATTTTAATTTTGACAAGCCTCTTAGTCTACCTTGAACTTGACTTTGGCTAGTGAGTATATTACACAGATGCCACCGTCTTTCCCCGCTCTCACCAGCTAAAATGACAGGGTTTCTCTGTGTAACAGCCCTATCTGTCCTGTAACTTGCTTTGTAGACCAGGCTGGCCTCAAACTCAGAGATCCCCCTGACTCTGCCTCCCTAGTACAGGGATCAAAGGAGTGCTCCGACATGCCTGGCATTTGTTTGCTTTTTGAGACAGGCAGTCCTTGGACTCACTATAAGGAGCTGAGGGTGACACTGAACTTCTGATCTTCTTGTACCCATGTCCCAAGAGCTGAGGCCACTGATATACACTGCCACACCCAGCTTTATCTTTTCTACTCCATTTATCAACACTCCTTGGAGACTGTCTAATGCCTCTGAGCAAACTTAGTACTGTGGCACCACCTCACAATTCAAACAACATACTTACCTGTAATTAGGATGTTTTTTACTACTATTACATTTATTAGAGTGTGCACATTTGTGTCATGCCACACATGCTGAAGTCAGAGGACAACTTGTGAGAGTCAGTTCTCTTCTCCTACTATGTGGGTCCTATAGATTGAGCTGAGGTTTTTGGTGGCAAGCACCTTTAACCACTGAGCTATTTGCTGACCTCAATTTGGACTTCAAATTCAAACCATATAATGATGTCAGGGTTATAGGTATAGCTCAGTTGAAAAGAATGTTTGACAAATATGCACAAAGCTCTGGGTTCAATCTCCAACATCACATAGACCAGTTTTTTGGTGGCACCAGCAATCCCAGCACTTAGGAGGCAGAGGCAGGAGGACCAAAAATTCAAAATCATCCTTGACTACATATCAAGTTCAAGGCCAGTTTGGGATATATGAGACTGTCTCAAAACAAAAAGTTATAAAAGGATTTTGTTTCTACCTTCCAGGGAGGGAGGGAGGGAGGGAGGGAGGGAGGGAGGGAGGGAGGGAGGGAGGAGAAAAACAGAGAAGGCAGTAAGTGATTCCCATAACCACATGGTAAAGGAAAAAACTATGAAAATTGTCCCCTGACCCCCACAAGCACACAGGAGCACTCACAGCTCACACTGGCCTTGAACTACACAGTGAAACTCTGCCTCAAAAAATTTAAATAAATAAAAAAATAAATAAATGAATTTTGGTGGGAGGATGGTGTTGGAAAGAATTGTGGTTTCAAGGCTACATATGATTGTGCATTTAGTTTGTTTCACCGAAGTGTAGAAATCCAAGAATGGATTTAGACTAGTATACTATTAGTCTGATCCTTATTTCAAGACTGTTCTTATATGATCAAAATCAGAGAAAAACATGTTGTATTTTTTTCTCTTTCTCTTTTTGTCTGTGTCTTGAGTGAAATTGTTGAGACAAGGCCTTTATTGCCTAGCAGTGTGTTTTTGTTGTCTTGTTACAAAATTCTCATTAGAATATTGTAGAGGAGTTCTTTCATTATATTTTCTCAGCTCTGGTCCCTTCCCTTCCCCTTCTCCTTTCCCTTTTCTGCTGTTTTTGTATCTTGAGATAGGGCTTTTGTAGTCCAGGCTGGTCCTAATCTCTAAATTCCCCCTTCCTTTGCCACTTGAATTGAGTGCTAGGATTAGAGACAGATGCCGCCATACCTAGCTTCTTAGGTCTTTTCTGGTTGGTTGGTTGGTTGGTTGGTTGGTTGGTTGGTTGGTTTTTTGTTTTTCTTCCCTGGAGACAGGGTTTCTCTGTGTAGCCATGGCTGTCCTGGAACTTGCTTTGTAGACCAAGATGACCCTACACTCAGAGATCTACCTGCCTCTGCCTCCTGACTACTGGGATTAAAGGCATGCACCACCACCACCACCACCACCACCACCCAGCTTCTGTTAATTTCTAAAATTTCAACATAAAATGATGCCATTAATATCCAGAATGTCCTATGATTGCGCTGGGAAAAATTAATTAATTAATAAAAAAGAGAAAAAATCCAAAACATCCAGTTTTCTCTCTGTCTCCCCGCCCCCCATTCCCCCTTTTGAAACAGGGTTTGTGTAGCTCTGGCTGTCCTGGAACTAGCTCTGTAGACCAGACTGACCTTGAGCTTAGACATTTGCCTGTCTGCCTTCTGAAGGCTGGGATTAAAGACATGTTCTACCATTGTCCAGCCAGGTTTTCTTTTTCAAGGATAGTTTTTTTTTTCTTCTCCCTCTTGATACATTAGTAAAATTTATTTATTTGGAATATGTAAAGAAGAAGCCAGGAATAGTCTTATTATTTGGTGACAAAGGAGGATTGCATTTGTTCATAGATTAAATATGACTCTGTCTTGTATGGTTCTATCTGCTTCATGCTTCTTTTTAAAAATTTGAGGTTTAGTGGGATAGGGTGTGGTGGCACATATATTTAATTCTAGCTTTTCAGATGCAAAGGCAGGTGGGTTCAGGGTGTTTAAAAAAAACACAGTATTTGTTGTGTTTACACAGATGAGCGTGAGCAGGCTGGGTCTGCTCAGTAAACACCAGGCTCCCAAACCGCTCCCTCACCTCTAAGCCCAGCACTAAGGAAGAGAGGGGGTCTAGGCCCTGTTCCTATCCCCTAGTACTGAACCAGCATAGGCCATGACAATATGACTTCAACGATTTATCTAATGGTCTCAGCAGCCTCAGGTTAACTGGCTCCAGAATGAGGTGCACAAATACCAGCCCAAACTGAAACACAGACTACATTGCCAGATTATGTTCAGTTCCTAGGAAAATCCAAAATCAAGCATAATGGTCCTTGTTGCCAAAATTGTCTATGTGAGTTTGACCCGAGACCAACACAGTGGAGAGAACTAACTCTCACAAATTGTCCTCTGACCTTCACACATGCAATATGGGCATCTGGGTGCCTACACAAATGCACACACACACAAACAGATGTAATAACTGCAAAAATAGGAAAAATTAGCCCTACCAATAAATATAAAAAAGCAAAGTATAAAACAGTAAGGGATGAGGGGGGTTTGGAGAGATGGCTCAGAGGTTAAGAACACTGACTGCTCTTAGAGGTCCTGAGTTCAATTCCCAGCAACCACATGGTGACTCACAACTATCTGTGATGAGATCTGGTGTCCTCTTCTGATATGCAGGCAGAACACTGTATACATAATAAACAAATAAATCTTAAAAAAAAAAAAACAGTAAGGGATGACACCCAACATCAAACTCTGGCTTCCACAGTCCAAACGTAAGTATGTGCACAAGCACACTTAAACACGTGCACACACATACACTTGTATACACATAAGCAGTTTGTACAAGATAGAAAAAAAATAGGATCTATTTGGATTTAAAAAAAAAAGAAACCCGGATATTTGTGGGCAATTAGTAATAATTTATTACCGATTTTTTTTTTGAGACAGGGCCTCTCTGTATTGCTTTGGAGGTTGTCCTGGAATTCACAGAGATCCACCTGCCTCTGCCTCCCGAGTGCTGGAATTAAAGGAATGCGCCACTGAAGCCTGGCAGATTTTTTTTAAAATAAAAATTATTCTTACCAGGTTGGTGGTGCACACCTTTAATCCCACCACTAGAGGCAGAGACAGGCGGATCTCTATGAGTTCCAGGTCAGCCAAGACTACACAGTAAAACCTTGTCCCTAAAAAACTTAAAAAATAGGTCAGGTGTTGGTGGTGCATGCCTTTAATCCCAGCACTCGGGAGGCAGAGGCAGAGGCAAGCTGATCTCTGTGAGTTGAAGGCCAGCCTGGTGCCATGATAGGCTCCAAAACTACACAGAGAAACCCTGTTTGGAACCCCCCCCCAAAAAAACTTTTTTAAATAATAAACTAAAAAAAAACTTAAAATAACCTGGAGGCTCATACCTTTAATCCCAGCACTAGGGAGGCAGAGGTGGGAGGATCAGGAGTTCATGGCCATCCTGGGCTGCATAGTGAATTTGAGGCCAGCCTGTGCTACATGAGACACAAGCCCTGACCCTGAGAGAGAAACAAAACAAAACAAAACCTGAAACATAACAATGTATCCTTAATGACAGTGAAATTTATCACAGTCAGAAGCCTGCCCAGAAGCCCTGAACAAAACAGCACATCCTTTTTCAAAAATAAAACTGGATGCTGGGCAGAGGTGGGGCATGCATTTAATCCCAGCGCTCCGGAGGCAGAGGCAGGTGGCTCTCTGTGAGTTCAAGGCCAGCCTGGTCTACTTAGCTAGTTCTAGGACAGCCTCCAAAACAATACAGAGAAACCCTTAAAAACCAAACAAACAAACAAAACAGCCTCCACTCACAGAGCATCTTACTATGTTTCATTCCTTGTTCAATGGCTTTAAACCAAAGGACATTATTGACAGTCAATCAATGTTCTTTTCTTTTATTAAAACACCCAGAGATAAATACACTGACTAGTCTCATTTGATTATTTTTATTATTACTATTATTACTACCTAGTACTAAGGATCAAACCCAAGGCCCTTCACATATTAGGCAAGTACTTTACCACTAAAGCTTATTATACCCTCAGCCATTAAGGGTTTTTTTTTTGTTGGTTTTTTTGACAGGGTTTCCCTTTGTAGCCCTGGCTGTCCCAGAACTCACTCTGTAGACCAGGCTGGCCTCAAACTTAAAATCAGCCTGACTCCACTCTTAAGTATTTTTAAAGGAATTTTTAAAAAAGAAATGATGGCATAATAATTTATTGGGAATGTAACTCTCCAGTTTTGAACCTGCTACATACACACATTATATACACATACATACATACATACATACATACATGCATACATACATACATACAGAGAGAGAGAAGGGGGGAAGAAAGAATGAATGCAACTTAAAAAAAATTTGGGGAGGCAAAGGAAGGCGAATCTCTGTGAGTTTGAGGCCAGCCTGTTATACAGAGCGAGTTCCAGGACAGCCAGTGCTGTTACACAGAGAAACCTTATCTAGGAGAAAAACAAATTCCCTTTCTGAATTGGTGATTTAACTCTGGGGTACAGTGTTTGCCTACTGCCATGCACAAAACCCTGTGTGTGGAAGGAAGCACCGGTAAGCCAGCCCAGCACGGCTGAAGCAGGGAAGTCGTAAGTCAAGGTCATCCGTGGCTATATTGCAGACTTAAGGCTTGTGTAGTATACATGAACATGGGCTCAAAAAAAATTCCATTCCCAATATTCCCTTTATGCAAAATGCTAGGACATTCAAATTTTTAAGTGGGTTATGTCAGAGCAAGTGTAGAAAGTACAGTTTAAAATGTAGTCATGTCAAGGAACTTTGAGGCATCTATTTTTGATTTTTAAAAAGGTTTTATTGTATTAATTTCATAAGGGATGTCAGAGAACAACTTTCAGGATATGATTTGGTTCTTTCCTTCCACTTCTAGATCCCAAGAATCTAACTCAGGTCGTGATACTTGTTGGCAAATACCTTAAGTTCCTGAACCACCACCATAGCTGCTATTTTTAAATTTTTTAATTTCTTCTTCCTCTTCCTTTTTCAACCACCTAAAATCAGATGTTTTTGAGTTCTTAAATGAAAGTTGTTTATTATTCTCTTGTGTATGTTATGGGAGGGTGGGAAGACATCTTCCTGGAGTTGGTCTCTCCTCCCACCTTCTAGGATCAAACTGAGACTGTCAGGCCTGTGTGTGGGGCAAGGGTCTTTAACCCACTGAGCCATCTCACTGGTCCATAAAACCAGATTTTACATGAACTCAACTAGAGCATCAAAACGTGTTCCTATTAGTTTCTAAGCACTCACATTCTGATACCCAGTTTTCAAAATTTTCATTCAAAATCCTCTTTGATCCTGATGAAATAGCTGAGGGCCATTTTTCCTCAAAACTTAACTGTCCACACTCCCTGGTTTCAATTTTATTAGGGCACCTTGAAATTCTCAACTCTGAAAAGCATTCAAAGTATGTATATCTCCTTAAATAATTTTAAGTTAATAAGATTAACAAAACTCATGCACTTTGCACATGCTTTACAGGGCTTAAAAAAAAGAAAAAAGAAACATCGTCTCTGGTATCAAACGTCCAAACTGAACTGCCTCAAACTTCTGTGGCCCTGCGACACTCTTAAAACACCTTGAGATGCTGTGTGGTGCTGCAGCCTACACAGCAGGCACATGACCACAAGGGTTTTTCAGCAACCTCCAAATTCCTTACTGCTGCAAAACTTCTCCTAGCGTTCTGCACAGTGTTGATTTTAAAAACTGTTCAATTGTTTTGTCTACCTACCAACCCAATCACCTCCAAGAATTCAAACCCTTCAAACCTGCCTTCAGACACCCAGCTACAGTAGTCCTGTGCTGCTTAGAGTAAGCTCAAAGGAATAAAAACTTGAGTTCTGAGGCTCATCCCTTGACCCAAATTGCTGTTGCCAGGAGATGCGGTAGTAATGCAGTGATTTGCATCTCTGAGGATGTATTTTACGTAGAAATAGCCAAAGGCTACTAAATCCTTTATAGTTCCAATTATTTCTGCAGTAACAATTTCAACAGCTAAAAGACGAATTATTCTAATTCGGCCTTGGTCCCCCCCCACACACACACACAAATGCCTGCCATTGCAAGGACATCTTTTCCAGATCAACATTTGCAAATAAAGAAAAATGAAGGTTTAGGCACGAGTTATCTCACGCTTGAAAAGACCATTATTATGCTCCTTACAAATCTTGGTAGGATTCGAAGTTAAGTTTACACCAGTCCACAGTCCTAATACCTTACTGTTTCCCAAGCCCAATTAACGGCCTGAAAACAACAGCAGTATTTATGCCCAGAGAAAGCTCAATGCTCGCCTAAACAAAAAGGCGTCTGATAAGTAAGGGTACCCCTTTCCAGGGCGAGGACAAGGTTACAGAGACGATAAAGGGTTTGTTTATCACGATGAGGAAAAAGGAGCAAAGACTCCCACTATGATCGGGGCGAGCAAAATCCAAGGGTTCGGAAGCCCTGGCCTGAAAACCACTGGCCCCAAGCCTTCCCAACCTCAGCCCTGTCCCTGAGGGCCAGCCCTGCGCCTGCACAGGCCCCCGAGCCAACCAAAGCGCAGCCCCAACAAAGCACCCCGCTGGGGAGCCAGGAGCCAAACAGGAGGAGCCCCGCGTTCAGGGGACGAAGCGAAGGGGATGAAGCCGGAGACGCGGCCTCATCTCAGGCTGGGAGGCCCCTAGAGAAATGAGAGGCAGAAAAGAGAACCGGTTTGCAAGGCGGAGCAGAGCGCTGGAGGACAGAGAGCCGAGAGGCCGGGAAGGAGGAGGCCCCGGGCTCGCTGCGAGCCCTCCGGGGGTCCTCGGCGACGCCCGTGTTTACCTGAAAGTCTCTGTCCTCGTTGAAGCGGGAGAAGCGGTCCGCCATTTTGCCGCCTTCACTCCTCCTCAGGACGAGGCTCTCCGGTTCGCTCCTTCCCTCCCGCGACACCCGCCCCCTCCCTGCTTCCACGCCTCCTCCCACGCCCACCGGGCGCGCGCAGCTGGAGGGGGGGCAGGTTAGGAGGGAGGGTGGGAGGGAGGAAGGAAGGGAGGGAGCAAGAATGCGTCCCGACGGGAATGCCGAAGGCGCAGGCGCTCTGCGGGCCCGGAGGCGGAACCTTCGCTCACCACCCTGTTTCGCGCAAGGCCCGGAGCGACCCTAGCGGGCCGCGCGTGCGCACTTGCTCCAGAGCGCCACAAGCGCTTCCGGAGGGAAAGATCAGCGGGGCAGGGCTTGTGGGCTTTGGGGAGTGTCCGCTTGCTCGCTTAATGGTGTTTAGTAGTCTTTCTTCTGCTCCGGTTTACGATTGAGACCATCCTGTATTTGCCAAATAATAGTATACATTAGCATGAAATACGATTTTAGAGCCAGAGTACTTTAAGTGTTTTTGTTGGTTTTGGATAGGGTTTCCTGTAGCCCAGGCTGGACTCCATCCAGCTCTCTATGTAGCCGAGGTTCGACTCCCAAGTCCAAGGAGAGTACTTTTTTTAAATTGACACATAATAAGATTACTTGAGAGGAGGGGGAAAAGAAATCTCTCTTCTCATAGGACTTCCATTCCAGGAGGGAAGCCAGATAATCAGTAAAACGACTTAATACTTGTAAATATTAGCAAGTGTCAAAGACTAAAACTAGATACAGCCTCAATTGAGGCTGAAGGAGGAAGATCAGAAGCTCAGACTCATCCTTGGCTACATGGGGAGTTCAAAGCCAGCCTGGACGGCACAGGGCCTTGCCTCGGCAAAATCTAGTGAAACTGCAGGGAGAGACACTTTCATGGAAAGGACGCTTATCTCAAAGTTGCCTATAAATCAAGGCATAACAAGGGATCCACAACCTTGGAGAAAAGATAACACATGTGTACAAAGAGCTTGACTTTTTTTTTCTTGTTTCCACCTCCATATATGTTTGAGGCTCATGTATGAGTTAGTTGTTGGATCCCTTGAGACTAGAGTTACAGACAGTTAGGAACCATCTTGTGTTTCCTCTGCAAGAGGAAAAGTGCTTTTACCTGCTTAGCCACCACTCCAGCTCCTGTTTTAATGGAGGGGGCGCTTATTTAATTTTATTAGACTTATTCATTTTACTTTATGTGTGACTGTTTTGTCTGAAAGCAGGTGTGTGTACCTTGTATGCTCTTGGTGGCTAAGGAAGTCAAAGAGGGCATCAGATTCCCTGGCACTGGGATTACAGGCAGTTGTGAACCACCACATGTGTGCTGGGAACTGAACTCTGATCTTGTGTAAGAGCAAGTGCTCTTAACAGCTGAGCCATCTCTCCAGTCTTTCTTATTTCTTAAGACAAGGTCTCTCATTAAGCCTGGAACAATCCCCAGTCTGGCCAGCAGGCCTCAAGGGCCTGCACCTGATACGGGGTGTGTGTGTGTGTGTGTGTGTGCAGGTGTGGACAAGACTAAGTTACAAGTCAGTCTAGGGAGCAGTTGGATCCTAAACCATTTTCTCTATCCAGACAGCTGCTAGAGGCTTTCTCTAGAAATGCTAACCAACAGATACTGGACCTTAGCATGCCAGCCGTAACCAAGAAGGAGATAATCTGTTAAAATGAGAGGATCTGTGTTAAAAAAAAAAAAAACAACTGTTTTAGTCACTGTTCTGTCGCTGTGAAGAGACGCCATGGCCAAGGCAGCTTTTAAAAAGCATTTAATGGGGTGGGGGGGTTTACGTACAGTTTCAAAAGTTCAGTCCATTGTCATCAGAGCGTGGAGCATGACAGTAGGCAGATCTGCACTGGAGCAGTGGCTGAAACTTACATCCTGATCCACAGTCAGAGAGAGAGACAGAGAAAGAGAGAGAAGTTGAGAGATTGAGACTGGGCCTGGCCGTGGCATGGGCTTTTGAAACCTCAAAGCCACCCCCAATGACACATTCCCTCTGACAAGGCCACACCTCCTAAACCTTCTAATCCTTTCAAAAAGCTCTGCTTGATGAAAGCTAAGCATTCAAATATATGAGCCTATGGGGAGACCTTTTTATTCAAACCACCACACCCATATTCTAGTCAGAGAGTCAGATTTCCCCCAGAAAACCATCCTAAGTCCTCTCCCTGAGAAACTGGCTTACAGAAGTGACATCTTCATGGGATGGAGAGGTTATCACCTACAACATAAAGATCATGTCCTGCCCAAAAACCCCATAGAAAAGTCCATCATTCTGGAAACTCCATTCACAATGAATACTTGAAGACTAAGCAAGAAATCTTGGAGGCTGGAGAGAAGGCTCAGCAGTTAAGAACACTTACTGATCTTGCAGAGGAACCCAGATTTGGTTCCCAGCACTCCCAAGTTATCTCAGCACCCACATGGCCTGTAATTCTGGTTCCAGGAGATTTGATGTCCTCTTATGGCCTCCATAGGCACTGCAGGCATAAGGTAAACATTGTGTAACATTATTCCTCAGGAGACATGAATAAGCATCTACTTATCCCAGATAAGGAACTGAGAACAGACTAAAGTACAGACACCTCCAAAGTCCAACTTAGTGAATGAAAGAGTTTTATTGGGATTCCTATAAAAATGTGGGTGACAGGTTACTTATAGAAGGAGAAATGACTCAAAGGGAGCTGCATCATCAAAGCCCACCCCAACATGAGTGACAGCTCACAAAAACGGGGGACCTGGAGACAGAGGTAGGTGGATCTCTGTGAGTTCGAGGCCAGCCTGGTCTACAAAAGCTAGTTCCAGGACAGCCTCCAAAGCCACAGAGGAACCCTGTCTGGAAAAACCAAAAACCAAAAAAAAAAAAAAACAAAAACAAAAAACTGGGGGCCTGGAGCACATTCCACAATTTGCATGCAGCTCAGCTGGTCCCTGCTTCTTCCAAGTGGTCTGAGAGTCTTCTAGGTTGCTTGTCCAGTCTTAGAATGTTCCTCACCAGTCCTTACTATTTGTATTTGCTTGGGGAGGGAGCGGTCCCATGAATCTCATCAGCTTCAGGAACTTCCTGAGGTTTTTGGGTTGTTTACTTACTCCCTGAGCTGATCCAGTTTCCCCGCAGGACTGAAGGTTTTACCTTAGAGGAAATTGCTACTCAACAGTGCTCAGATATATACAGACAAACACTCGTAACATAAAATAAAAGTAAGTTGGGCAGTAGTGGCGCATGCCTTTAATCCCAGAACTCAGGAGGCAGAGACAGAGTGATTTCTGTGAGTTCAAGGCTAGACTGGTTTACAGAGCGAGTTCCAGGCCAGGAAAACCTGTCTCAAAAAACAAAACCCATAAAATAAAGTATATTACTTAATGGGGGCTCTTGGCAATTAAAACATTTTATTCTATTGACTGTGCTTATTTTTCCTGATGTTAATTTAATGTTTTGCTTTGTTTTGTAATAGGGTCTCCTGTAGCATAGTTTGGCATCAAGTTCACTATGTAGATGAGGATGACCTTGAACTCCTGGTCCTGTTGCTCAAGGCATGCACCACCACGCCTGCCCTGACAGTGACGTTTTAAGGATTCATCTAGCTTTATTTTGTGAGCGGGGATGTTTTGCCTGCATGTATGTCTCTGCACCCTGTTCATGCCTGGTACCAGAGGAGGCCAGACAAGGGCATCAGATGCCCTGGAACTGAATCTGCAGACAGCTGTGATCCTCTTGTGTAGGGACTGGGAACTGAATCTGGACTCCTCTGCAAGAGGAAGGAGCCAATGCTCTTAATTGATTGAGACAGGGTCTCATATATCCCAGGCTAGCCTCCAACTCATTATGTAGTGAGTTTATACTGAATTCTGATCTTCTCGCCCAAGATCTGGTAATATAGGCATGCTCTACCACACCTATTTTTCTTGGAATCAAAACCAAGCCTTCATGATGCTGGTAAGCACTCTGTTGATTGAGCTACATACCAAGCCCCTCAACCTCCTTTCACTTGAGTTTTTTTTGTCATTCACTGATGATCCTCATGTGAATCATTTACTGCAAACAATACTTATAAAATGAATCTCAGCCAGTAGGAAGGCTGAGACAGGAGGATTGCAGTGTTGGAATGTTTAACTGTGTGTTACTTTTGTTTGTGCTGCAGAACATTAACTATGTGAAGGTGTGTTACATTTGTTTCTGCTGCCTTTGTTAATGATGTAAAGATGTGTTGCATTTGTTTCTGTTGCAGAATAATTGTCTAAGTGAAGATGTGTTGCTTTTGTTTATGCTGCATTCTTTGTTTAACTATATAAAGATGTGTTGCTGTTTCACCTTGGCTGTCTAAGGTGCCTAAATGGCCTAACAAAAAGCTGAATGGGCAGTAACTAGGCAGGAGAATGATATGTGGGGCTGGTGGAAGAGAGGATGAGTAGGACTAGAGAACAAGGGGAAAACAGAGGGATATGCCCAGGTCCAGAAGTCAGGCAACCTCCAGCTAGACAGACACAAGAAGCATAAAGGTTGGCTCTACATAAAGAAAGAAAAGTAAAAAACCCTGAGTCAAAATGCAGGTAAAGAGAAACATTAAAATAAGAGCTAAGAGGGGTCAGTGGTGCATGCCTTTAATCCCAGCACTCGGGAGGCAGAGGCAGGTGGATCTCTGTGAGTTCAAGGCCAGTCTGGTTTACAGAGCGAGTTCCAGGACAGGCTCCAAAACAATACAGGGAAACCCTGTCTCAAAAAAAAAAAAAAGAGCTGAGATAAGGCCAAGCATTCATAACTAATATGAAGTCTCTGTGTCGTGATTGAGAGCTGGTTTGTGGACCAAAAGAAAAAACCTGGTACATTACAGCAAGTCAGAGGCCAGGCTGGGCTACATAGTGAGTTTCAGACAAGCCTCAGAAGCATGGCGAGACCTTGTCTCAACCAGCAAGTATGTAAATTCTGTGATTCTACCATGTCTACATTTGTTAGTAGGAGCTCTTCAGGGTATCACGATGGCACTGTAGACTCCTAGCTGCTGATATTCAGCCCTCTTTGGGTTGGCTTTGCAACACTATGAGCTTTTGTTTTTTTGAGACAAGAGTCTCATTATGTAGCCTAGACTGGCCTTGTATTCTCTGTTAACCCCATTCTGAC